CCTCCGCTTTATTGCGAAGCCTACAAATTGGGTTTAATGTACCCCAGTTGTGTAAATGTTTTCTCAGATGACAGTGACCGGTATATAATCGTATCACTCCTCTGAGTTTGCCCTGGACTAACTGTAGCACGGTTTTGGCCATTTTTACTGAGTATTCTTTAACCATGGGTTTACTGCGTGGCTACTCTAGATTTGTGCACTTTATCTTTTTATTATTTATCGGCTCATTCTGAGATGTACGTTGTATGTCTGATTTTGTTGTACTAAGTATAGATTCTGGCCATATGGTCTTGCAGGTCCGCCTGTGGCCGGTTTGTCTGTCTTACCCGAAATTCCTTTGTTTGGTGGCACTCAACAGTTGTTATGTTCACCCAGGTTTTGGATGTGACCTTTTTATATGCAAATACTTTTAATAGCTGCTTCACTATATGATCATATGATGAGTTTTTGTCAATCGCCTCTTTTATGTTTTAAGGTTTTCTAAAGCACAATCATTTGTGATAAGTTTCAGCTTGAAAGACCGAGGTGTACTTTCCTTAATGAGTTGGATTGCTCATATTTTTGGGCTTGTCCAGAAAATAAATGATCCCTTTCCTTGGCTTTTCGTGAAGCTATCCGTATAACATATCGTTATATATGATTTCTTTTTCTCCTTGCAGTCTGTTGAGACTTTATACTCTGTTGTAAAGAATGTTTCAGTAAATATGTGATGATTCTTCATCTAAGAGCGGACAATTTTAANCCTTTCACGCAAATAAATTACATTCATCCTAATGTATTAACATAAACACCACACAAACACGACACAAACACTTCAGACACAACACAAGCACAGCACAAACACACATAAAATACATACATTTGAAGATCCCTATTGCCCTGAGGTACCGGTACAGCGATTTGTGCCCGCTGCCGTGCCCCAAGACTACGCACAGGTCCGATGATATTCCAAAATATTGCCTATAAACGTCGAGCTTTCTACAATTGAAAAGGTGCTCGACTGTTACTCTATCTTTGCATAATGGGCACCTTTGAAGTCACTTTCCTGCTAGAAGGTGCCCGTGTGTAATCCTTGTATGACCTATGCGTAGTCTTGTCAGTAAGACCTTTTCCCTTTTTGACCCATTTTCCGTGAACCAGGGACCGACGTCTTTCTTAACCTGCCACAGTTTGACAGGGTTATTCCTATTTTGCCGAGCCCAGCGGTTTTTCCAGTCTTCGTTTATTGTGTTTGAAATTAATAACTTGAGATCCGCTGGGCGTATTTGTTGGGAAGCGTCGTGAGGTCCTCGACAATTTTAATAATTATTGTTTCACATTCAATAAATTGTTTTTGGGGCTTGGTTGAGCTTTTCGTATTTTCTTCTTGAATAATTATTAGTTGTTAAATGTTTAATTACTAATTATTGTTTACACATTCTAGAAAATGATTAGTTAAGGTTATTTTATTGGGCATGTTAATGTTACTAAGAGCATCTCTGTTCTCCCGTTGCGACGGTTTCGATGACTCGCTTTTGAATTTATTTATTTTTTTCATCTTTCATCGTTGTTGGGTTTGTGCATTGGTTCTTTCCGTATGGTGTTGAAGTTAGCGTATGCACATACAGTTCGTCAAAACAAACACAACAAACGCTCCGCTGAGCAATGCATATATGCTTAAAACATTCCTCAACTCCACGTTCCGATGGTTATAAGAAAGCCTGGAAAAACCACGCAAACATGTACAACGTATTTTCCCGATGAACACTATCATGAATGTGGAATGGGTTTCAGAATAACGATAACCAAAGTGCAGCAGACCGGATGACATTATAACAAGAGGATCAGAATTGATGGTCGTATTGATTTCTCTCGTGTATCATGCCAGCCGCACTAAATGTTAAATTCATTTCACTCAAGCTTTGCATGTTAGGCAATTCTCGGCAACAGGTGACTTGGCCATTTGCATAACTGATGAGTAAAACCCTCTTGAGGCTTCTATTCCAGATTGCGGTCTAAAGCTTGCAAGGACATAATTACTGTGCTTTCCAATCGATGAACGTGCATATCTTGGTTCAGCTAGGGTGTGATGAATGTAAGGCCGAACATCATCAACCTACACCCCACCCGTACAAATTCTGAATCAGCTCATTCCTCACCATCCCTCTCCAAAAACGTATCGTAAAAATTACAAGCTACCCAACTTTTTTAAATTAATATTTTTGTAAAGTTGTATGATTTATCCAAAATCAAATAAAAACCGTCGTAAGCACAATATACAATAACAATCAGAAAGATTATAATTATGACGTCCGGTCAATTAACATCAAAGTAGTTGTTGCTTAGTTATAAACATATAATTTAATATAATAATAAATATAATTTTTTAACATAGTAATTTAATGAGAAATTAACCAAACAAATCGTCTGTCACTTTTTCTTTTATAAACAAATGAATTTTATATTTTCATCCTTTTTTACTAAATGTAGAAATTTTTTTTTTTTTTTAATTGGCCTTATGATCTTTGCATATTAGCCATGACGAATCTCTTATATATGTTGTTCAAATTGGGGGTTATCGGGAAAAAAGGGCCAGAGGCGACGGTGGGAATCGAACCCACGACCGCGGCGTGAGAGTCTATCATGCTAACCACTCGGCTAACGCGGTTCCCCATGTAGAAAAATTACACGTATCTATATTCATAAATAGATGGAAAAAAGGAGAAATTAAATAAATAATATTAGTAATGACAAATAGAATAATAGTAAAATTACAAGAATATCTAACACAATAAAGAAAGTTAAGATTGATTCTTTCAATTAAATAATCTTTTTCTGTAAGGTTTTGGTTGAAAAGAAAAAGTTAGTGTCACGAGCGAGATTCGAACCCACGACCTTCGGCTCAATACGCCGCTACTCTAACCGCTTGACTTCGATACACTCGGACACCAAGGATCGAAGGTTAATAATGGAACATCAAAGTATAAATACCATGAATGATATGGTAAATAATGTGAACGACTGCCCTTTGCTGTTTAAGGAAATAATAAGAAAACAAAGTGTCAAATTCTGTGAAGAAATTCGTGAACAAGTGAGACCAATCTCGCGATTTTCTTATTCTATAAGGATCTTTCCCAAGATCATTTTAATAACATAGCTAAGGATAGGATTAAAGGTTTGACATTGGTCGAGCTAAGGTGGTTATTCAAAATAAGGGAGATCTGCTTTTTTGCGCCTTTTCGAGCTAAAGAAAATTATGAAATGACCATGTTAAAGAAGACATTTTATTGCAAAGTGCACTTTCTAACCTGAGGTTCGGCTTCTGCATCTAAATTTTGTTCAATTAAATAAGAAACCGTGTATTGACTTGTTACTGCATGATTTTATAAATTTAATCAATTATGCGCGCCACGCTTGGCACTATCGCCAAGAGTTAATATTAGAATTCAATTTATATAAAACATTTACAGCTTCTTCGTTCTAAATTGCTGACACCAATAATTTATAATCTATATTTATTGTAATTTAAAATGGTTTTTTAATAAGTAATGCAATTATTAAAAATTAAACTATTCATTGTAATATTTAGTTAATGATTAATTGTATTTTTTTCTGCGTCGAACTAAAATTGAATTGTCAAATTTAAATCGACCTCAGGCAGACTGACTCCCATGCCGTAAATTTATTTTAATTGTATACTATGTAATGCTTAAAACTAGTCACTATTTTTCGTGGTCCGCTTGACCAATTAATAACATTCAACTTAAAACCTTAATTAATTGAATGTTTAAAACTATTTTGCAATAAAGTTTATATTATTATTATTATGGTCGATCTGGCCCTTCCATCCTCTGAAATCCAACTGTGAATGAATTACACTTAAAAATACCAGAACACCGTGATTCATTAATTATTCCTTTATGGGTTATGTTAAATGTTGAGGTGAAACTGAAGAAAAAGCAGCGCGTAAACTAATTTAAAAAAATTGTAAAGTTTGGGAGAGAAAGGTTGCTCGACGTATCCCAGATAATAGAGCTTGTTATGACGTGGCTTCTAACACAAGCATGTAGGCATGCCGTCGAATTTAATAATGGTTCTCGAGCGCTGTAGCAAGTTTCTGTGTCCACCGTCCGTTTTTTTGCAGGACGTGTGTTTTTTCAATTAAGTGTATATATGTTTTATGTGTTTTGGTTGAGTGCGTGAAATATAGCGTCATCATCGCCCCTCTAGCAGTGTATTTGTTTAGGGTGGAAGACGGAATATTTATAAAAGTAGCTCATCGACTATAACTTATATTAGATCATTAATATTGTGAGGAATTAATTAATATTTATGAAAGGTATTGGTCGAGAGAAAAAAGTCAGTGACACGAGCGGGATTCGAACCCACGATCTTCGGCTCAATAAGTCTCTTCATGTCGTGAAATCACGATAGCTCAAGCGGTAGAGCAGCGGAGTATTGAACCGAAGGTCGTGTGTTCGAATCCCGCTCGTGACACCAACTTTTTCATTTCAACTAAAACCTTACATAAAAAATTATTATAAATATTTTCCTCATAAAACTATCCAATTAAGTAACAATAACAGGACATTTTAGTTATTATTATTTTTTGATAGATTAACATTGTTATTAACTTCGACACCTCTCTTACGCCTGATGCCCAGGAGATCGTCACTTATTTTTCATTACAACTAAAACCTTACATAAAAATGTTAATTAATTGAAAGAAGTAATTTCGTCAATCAAACCTCCAAATATAATGGATTGACAATAATCTAAAAGTAAACTATGTCATGTAAGGATTGAATTGTCGTTCGAAAATGGGATACTGTTATTGTCTAATGAAAATAATTATGTAAAAAGGATTGATTAGTCATGCGATTCGTTTTTCGCTTTTGTCCTGTAAAAAATATTTAATGCAAACATGAAACAAGAGGTGTTTGAGATAATTGCCGTTATCTCAAGCTATTCATTGGTTATTTTTATTTCTTCCTTGATAACGGCCGTAATATAAACCCGTGTCGAGATAAGGAGTTAGTCGAGTGAAAATGTACAGACTATTCGCAAGCACTGCCGTCGGCCTTTTTGTCGCTATCGCGTTCAACGTTCTCGTGCCGCAGCCTGTGGCCGCAGTCTCATGCGGACAGAACAAGAGCCACAACGCTGTCTTCGGGCACAGGCAATCCGGAGATCAGTAAGTCCGAGGTAGTAGGAAGGACATGCCTTTCGGCCAACTTATACGAGTTTTTGTGCAGGTTGCTTTTCATGGACCACCCTAAAGTTAACTACAAAGTGTTGAGAGTGGTCACCTACGACGTCGACTACAAGAGCCCACTGAACCCCCATTACGTCATCACATACGTCGAAGCTCTCGACCAGTTCACGGACCACAACGGTGGCTGCGCTTTGCTCCAGAGCGGTGGAGTCGGATCCGACTACCTCAAACTTCACCTCAAATCGCAAAGAAACTACGGCCTCGATTTTGTTGTTAGTGTTTATGGATTAAGACATTGGTAAATTGCATGTTATTAAGAAGAAGTTCTAAAAGAATCATCTTAAAATACATTTTCTTATTTTAATCCGTTTTTAAAAACCCCTATGCAAATTTAAAACTACTCGAAATCCACCTCACAGTATTTGGTATGCATGCACCTGCTGCATGAATCTGTAGCTGGGTCGGCTCTGAATATCATGGCCAGCTTAAGCTCGTTGGTTTTGTCTGTCAGAAACAACATTTAGTATTGGGTGAGTTTATCAATTCACGAATATGCTTAGCAATTCTGATAATGTTTGAACTATAAATACCGATAAAAATAACCAAAACTGTTTTGCGAAATCTATGAGAAATGCAGAAGAAAATGATCGGAGACGATCAACCAAAGTTCAAATATTTTTTAAAAAATACGTGTAAAAAGAAGTAAAATGACAAGAAGTTTGTCATGCCTTGGCATCTAACAGCGAGCGTGTACGCATGCCGGAAAATTTAAGGATGGTTCTGGGGCGCTGGAGCGAGGTTTTGGGTCCACGTTCCGCCTTTTAGAGGGCGTGTGTTTCCTTTACTATAAATAGATATGTCTTATGCGTTTTAGTCGAGTGCGTGAAATATAGCGTCACTATCATTTCGGAGGACGTGGACATCTTATTGTACATAGATCTTATCTTATGGTACATAGCGAATACCATCTGGGGTAGGGTGGACTTCCGGGTAGGAGTGGGAGCGGCCCGTGAGGGCTGGCCTGTGAATCCCCGTGGACACCCATTACCCATAGGGGAGAGACTGACCACCTCTCCCCCTGAATTCGTCCACGTGGAGAAGGGTATCTGAGAATCTTTAATCCGAGGTGTGTGCCGGGCGGTCACACAACTCCGGATTAGTCCCTCGAGATGACTGGTTGAAATGGTGGTCGACTCGTTCGGCGCTTGAACGGCCGTCTCACCTCTTCTATCTGGAGCCATAGCCCACTAAATGTGGAACTACGGTGACAATGAGTGGTACAGTGTGGCCAAGGCGGGTGGTGCAACCTGAAAATGTAAGTCTCGTGTCCTCGATCACTTCCATTTCTCAATCCAGGTCCTTCGGCATACTTCCTTGAGACCTCTCCTAACCCTTGGATGCAAGGGGGTATCCAGGCATAAGATAATGGTGTAGCCTTGGGCTTAGTGGCGATGCTCCTGACGAAAACTTAGTGTGATTCTGTTAGTCGGGGGTACCGTACGCTCCTTTCCTCCTTTTTGCCATTTTTCAAAAGAGATTTTAAATAATAATTAAGTGAAAAACGTTATTCGGTCAATCGGACCACGAACTCTAATGAATTTAATAATTTCTGATATTATTACCAATTACAAATATAACTGATATATTCTTGAAAAGCAATAAACTGTAAATAGGAGCAAATAAAAGCGTTTGCGCTATTGCAAAAATAATAGACCTACTTAATAATTGGCTAGAAAATAAATGCTGGAACGAACGTCAGTGGATTTTCATAGCCAACGGTGACCTTTGTTATGACGTCTGAATCTGGTTTGAACATAAATATTTAATTTTGTTTCTAGATCTCCGATTTCTACGTCCTGTTCGGGAATTTAAACACTTCAATATTAGCTAAACGCCATGGGTTAAAAATTGGGTAAATTTACGTTTTCCAGAATGAACGTAAGTAAATATTCCTTACTCGCATGCATGCGTGAAATGTGTCGTGTATGCCGATCAACGCAGAAGGGTGGTCCGCGATAAGCCACTTGGTCACACGCCAAAACTGAATTGTATTAGACAAAAATAATGGCTATGGTTGTTTGTAGCGACCGAGGTTGTACTCCTAGAAATTTATCAAATGCATCATAATTTGATTACAAAAACTTCCGTTGTATTAATGAAGACTGTATGAATTAAAGGAGTTGCTAAATCCTGGCAGATCGACCTTTTTCATCAGATCAGATCGTATTTTTCAGCAGTGATTATTTCCTCATTACTGCGTACAAATTTTGAAAAGGGATTATGTAAGGTTGTTACATTTGTTAATTGAAAATGGAGGCAGAATAGTGGATTTTCGTCAGATAATGGGTTTTTTTTATTATCAAAAAGGGAAAACCACAGCTTAGACTGCTAGGAAGAGTTTTGATGTGTATGGTGATGACCCTTTACAGAAAGCACCGTTCGTAAATTGTTTGTCGGGTCAAAAGAGGAAATTTTGATAAGGAAAACACAAAGCACTCTCGTCGTTCCTTGACCGTTGATGACGACAAAAATCAAGCTTTTGCCACAAATAACAACATTTCATAAAGATACATCATCTCAAGACGCAGAAGAATTTATTGGACGGCATCTCCATCTGAAATTCCTTCTCAAACCCCCCACCTTTTTGAAAATATTGATAACTGAGAATAAAAATTGGGTTCTTGACAGATTGTTCAGAAAGGAAAATCTTCAGGGGAAACGCTGCGACACATAACTCCAGAATCCTGGTCATATCCCAAGAATGTACTGTGCATTTGGCGGGATTGAAAAGGAGTGATTTGTTGTGAGCTTCTTCCACCCAACAAAACCGTTAATTCTAGGGTGTACTGCACACATTTGGATTAAAATCAGTTGTTTATAAGGTATTCCAACAGGATAACTCTTAGCAGAGGTGCCAGAAATTGTTGGGGTTTGGCTTGGACGTGCCACACCACAAATTTGCACTTTTTCTGGGTTCTGGAAAACTCCATCAGTGAGAAGAAACTTTGGATCGCTTCGAGTAGTTCAACCTGAGACATCCTGGGTTGGGTAATCACAAACTTACGTGGAAGATGGCAACAGGTAATGGAACAAGGTGGTACATATATCTCCAACTCCATTTTTCCTTGGTTGTTTTATCGAATATAGTTAGGTGTTTGATTGAACTTTTCAATTACCAATTAATTTTCTTTATCGGTTTTACTCTTTGGAGTAAGGTTTGCACTCTAAAAATGTCAGATGAACAAATTAATTTGACAACAACAAATTAATTTAATTCAGAAGCTCAATTTAAGTAAGGTTCATATACGAGAAAATTTCTTTGAACTTACCATTAAAAAAAAGTTAAAGAATTATTTACGAACCAATATTTTATCTTTATTCTTAGGTGTAATATAATAAAGAATTACAATAATCCGTCTGCAAACCCCCCCCCCAAAAAAAATACTAAAGAGTATTAAAGTTACCTGCTGCTTCCAAGGTAAAATAGTAGTATTTCTCGTTATCTATTATGTTTTATGCGTTTTATGCACACATCCGCATCTTCGATTCACGTTGAACGTGACAAGTAAAATACGCGATTTTTTAACGATTTTTTTAAATTTTATTAGTGCGAATAAAAACTCGGTTATTCTGCCGTTCAAGGTGGACGGAATACTAATCAGGTTGTTGGTGAAAGGGAGCTCTAATGAAGGTACTATTCCGTGTTGGTTTGGAAAGTCTTCATCAAGACAGACGGCGTATGAAAATCAATCGATGATGAACTTCTTAAATAAGCTGCGGAAGACACTTAAGAATTCAGGACGTGGGTCTATATTTGTAGGAAGACAGTTTCTAGTCCAATCAAATCGGAAAAATGCATGCCTCCCAAATAAACAAGATGCACATCAACTGCTAAAATGTCAAATTGTTACTTGCACTACTGAAAAATGAGCAAATCCGAGCGGTTTAGTGGTTGAATGTCTAATAGCCTTCGTCGCAGTGAATTAATGGTCTTTTTAGGGTGGGTCATACTGCCCTGAAAATGAGCAAATACTTCGAAATTTCTTTGAAATAATGCCTACCCAATTACACCAATTTGAATAGGAAATGTTGAATCCTGTTGCACGACAGTGTCTGTCCTGAGCCTTTCGCAGGCGAGATTTTGTAAGAAATATTGACAATTTAATGTGTGGTGTTTTGTGACCGTTAGCCAACGACTATTTGGAGATCGTGAGGTGCGGTCTGGTGTTACGTAGGTTTTAGAAAAACATTTTTTTTTTATCATACCAACGTTTCGATCTTTATTGAGATCATCTTCAGGGCTCAAAGTGTTTGTTTTCCGTGTAGATGTGTAGAGACACAAGAATGACAGAAGATGATCTCAATATAGATATATATCCTAAAATAGCTTGGGTACGGTTTTTGTTAAAGTGGATGCAAATCCTACAATAACCGGTAGGTAACTCCCTGATGGAATATCAGCTTTTAAAAAGAAAAACAAATCATTCTAACTGGTATCATTAGTTAGTGATGGTCGACCGTCAGCTGAGGTTTGGTTCTTACAATTCGAAGCGAATTCTGGATGTGAAGATGGCTTGTAAGTCTTAATACGCCGCTCAATCCAGCAGTAAAGTTCATAGCGGTTCTAGGAAGGGAAAATAGCCGGCTTTGGGAAGGTTTTTGTTTTTAGTGGGTGCAAATCCCACAATCCCGAGTAGATAGCCTCTGATGGAACACCAGCTTTACAAAAAATTCATGCTGACTGGTATCATTAGCTATAAGAAATTCGAAAAATATGTACTCTCAAATTATAAGAAAAAAGTACAAATAGAGGGAAGTGAAGTTGAACCCTGTTTTCACTCTATGAAGAGAGGAGTTATATGAAATTATCTGATTGCATTGTTAACATGTATTTCTCCTCCTAGAAGACCTAATTATCAGTATTTTTATTTAAAGCTATTCTTGGACTAACCAACATTCAGTGCATATTAGTGCATCAGGTATCTTTTACTACCGGAATAAAGTTTTTAAATAGGAATCCTGATATGAAGATAATTGAATCTGTATGTGCACCCGTGTGCATAGTTGAGATTATATAACTCAATTAAAAAGTCTTAATTAGATAATTTTAATCAAAGCACAAAAACAAAGGGTCATTACTATTTTATTACACAATTTAAAGATTATTTGGAGATAGTGTGACGTAGGTTTTATAAAAACATTTTCTTTATCGTGCCAACGTTTCGAACTTTATAGAGATCATCTTCAGGGCTGAAAGTGTTTGTTTTCCATGTACATGAATCATTCATGGCTGTCGTGTTGAGAGTGCCTAATAATTTAATGAGTGCCATTTAATGTTGA